ATAAACGTTGCAGAACGTAAAAATAGCAAAAAATACCAAAAGTCATAGCAGGAATGTTTCAGTTCAATAATCCCAAAGGGAAATTAAATGTTGTAACTCATCCTGGTTTTATTAAGAGTTGTTACAGATGCTGATGTCATAAACATAACATAAACAATAAAAACCCTGGCCTGATTGTTTGGGTTTTTGTGGTGCAGTTAGTGTCCATATACATATATTTATATATATACATACATGGCCACAGCTTTTTTTAGCGATGGTGGTGTAGTGGTGAACATAGCTGCCTTCTAAGCAGTTGACCTGGGTTCGATTCCCAGCCATCGCAGTCAGTTCAAGTCCATGTATGTTTGCATGTGGTAGGTCACTGCCCCAGTGCCATAATTATGGGGTTGCCCATTGCAGCCCAGGGTTGGGTAGGAAGTATGGATGGGGCCGATCCGACCCGGTATCGGCCTCCAATACCAGCATCGTTTACGTATCGGATTTCTCTAATCCAACCTGCAGAGATTTCCGATCCATGATGCATGTCTGTGTCTGTTGAAACGTCCACATGTGATTTCCTGCCAGCTGCTCTGAAGGTTGGCTTCAAACTATGGAATGGATTTCCTGAACGGAGGCGTGTCTCATGAAACCCAGAGTAATAAGACCCGCCTCACATTCAGGAAATCCATTTCATAGTTTGCAGCCAGCTACAGCATGATGGCTGAGCAGCGCCGTGGCTAACGGCTAACAGACTTTTCATCGTAACATGTCCGCTGTGTGGAAGTAGTTTACAGTAAACACCGCAAGACAACAACGTGCAGTGTCTGCAGAGCCGCTGTACCGAGAGGAGGAAGCTCGGTCGCGACCTACAATACAACAAACTTAATAAACATTTGAAAAAGCACCACATTAAAGTGCACAAGGATTGTTTAGCCAGGCACCGCGGTCAAGTTAGTTTTACATTGGACGTTCGAGCTCCATGGCTTCAGCAGTGTGTTCCACTCGTTCAGTCCGAAGCAGACAGTCTGATTTCGGTCAGCTGCGCTCAGTCTGCCCGTCTCGGAGGATCAGACTGAAATTAGACTGTCTGCTTCACAGCTTGATTGAATACTTGCATACTAGCAAGTTTACATTGTGGGGACCAAAGCCCCATAATCATAGCCCCATAGCTTGATTTTTTTTTTTTTGTTTCGTATTCACAAAAAAGTGTCGGTCCGGTTTCCCAAGAAACTGCTCAGAAAGTCTCATAACCTTTATTTGAATAAATATCTAAATGTCCATAACTGTGTCTTCTGTTGTAAATTATTTTGACACTTGAAACACCCCTTTTTTGTTGAATCAGTCACGCATGAGCTACACTTAATCCAGCTACAGCTAAGGGATAATAGAGGTTTGGTCCCTCTGCCTTCTCAGCTCTCAGGGTGTAAACAGAATCCTATAGCGTAACAGTTTCTGATCTGACCTGAATAGACAGAGTGGGAGTTACTTGTACTTACAGTGAAGACCTTAACGTCGCTCCTGCCCCGCACCTCTTCAACCAGACCCAAAGGTTTACCTTTGGGGACGGGGATGGTGCCCAAGATTGTGCAAGAAGAACCGTCTAAAGTCTGTCTCACGGCCCGGATGAACGACTGGCTGAAGAGCTCCATTTTCCCAATCTCGTCAATGACGAACACCTTCCTGCTGCCATCGGCTGACCCCGCCTGCAGCCACGACACAGCGCTGGTCATAAAGCAGACATTAAACCAACTTCCTGGAGCCTGGATTAATATTACTTTGTTCAGTCTACTGATTAACAGTTTGGGTATTAAAATGTTGGAGATTATGGATTAGCTCGATATTCTTCTTCCTCAACCAGGTGCTTTATGAACCAAATACTGGACTCAATAACTGCAAGAAAATAAAAAATTAAAGTGAATTAAAGGCTTTGAAATAATGCATATCTTTCATTTTAGACTACTGGTAATTAATAACCAAGTTGCAGCCATTTTGAAAATAATCTTACATGCAATAACATGCAATATCTTGCATAATCTGTTAGTCCTTGGAGTATGTGTTGTGAACAACTGTCAGCTACTACCACACCACAGCTCAGCTCAATATAATTAAAACTGACTTGAGTTCTGGCTCTTTATGAGTCCACTAAGACTGCTTTGCTGTGACGGCCATCTTAAATTGGGTAGACTCTAAAAGGTAATAACTTGTAGATGAAAACCTAACACACACACACGTTCTTGTAAATGTACTGTTTGGGGACCTTGCATTGACTTCTATTCATTTTCTATAGCCTAACCCTGACCCTTTCCCTAAACCTAACCATTACTAGTACATGCCTAGTACTAGTAATGTAAACTAGTACTAGGCAACTGCTAGTAAACCTAACCCTCCAAGAGACTTCTCCTTATGGGGACCTGGCTTTGGTCCCCACAAGGAGCAATTGGTCCCCACAATGTAAGCTGAAACAAAAACGCACACACACACAAACATTACTGCTGCGGCTTTGGTGGCGGGTAATAACTTAATCTACAATGTGTTTAATAAAATTATAAATTTTCCTACAAAAGAGCATTTTAATAAAAAATGTACCATAGTTTTCGGACTATAAGGTGCACTTAAAATCCTTTAATTTTCTCAAAAACCGACAGTGAGCCTTATAATCCGGTGCACCTTATGTATTAATGCTGATTGTGCTCACTGACCTCGAAACAATTTTATGTGGTACACGGCGCTCAAAAATCTGTCAGAATTAACTTGTTTCACTTAATGCACCTTATAGTCTGAAAAATTCAGTAAATACAATAATTTGTGAAAGAAATCCATAGATTTTTGTTTGTTTGTTTAAATATATTTTTTTAAAGACGTGTTTTTGACTGATTATCAGATTCATAATTTCAGCACTATTTTTAGTTTGGGGGTGTCATTTGCTGACGACAGAAAACCTTTTATGAGTAGACTTGCAGGAATAGCTCGCTGCAGCCTCCAGATCCGTGCGCAGATTTGTGCACAGTCACTGCAGATCGTGAGTTGACACATCCGAACACTGCCACAGTCGTGGAAGCAGTCAGTGAGTTGCGTGCACGAGACGGCAGCATATACAGAGCTGCGGGGACTGCGCACGAATCATGAAGTGATGAAAGATGAGCGCGCGCCGCCTCCTTTACACGTGTTGGCGTCACTTTAGACGCAGGATTAATCACGCTCGACGACAGCCAGACGGCTCCACGGACACTAAAAACGTCACTGTGGAATGTAGCTTCCAATTATTCCCTCAAATGAGAGAAAAATGAAAGGTTTGATGATTTGTAAGTAAGAAGGACGGTTAGGTATCTTACATGTCTGAAGAGGGGGAGAGCCAGATTTTCAAACGAAGGCAAATCAACCACATACTGCCCCACGGTGTACTCCCGCCTGCCGTGATGAGACACGCCAGCGCCGTCTCTTCGAGGTAGAATGAGGCGAGTCAAAACACTGTGATGAAAGGAAGCAGATAAACTGATAGGGACGGGATGATCTGTACCTGACTCTGGACAGGTGGCCCCGCTCGCCGGTGAGGGTGACAACATCAAAGCCGACTCTCCTGCCGCCCTCCCTCACCTCCTCTGTGTAAAAACCTTCAACTGTGACTCCTGACAACACCAAAGCTTCACAGGCTTTCTGGACCAGAGTGGTTTTCCCCACACCTGCAAGCAAAACAACAGACTAAAATAATAAAGGCCTGGCATTCCTTGAAGGCGTATCGCCCACCATCTTTCATGCCAGACTATCATCTTATGTTGAGAAATTACCAAGTTGAAAATACTGTTAAACACAATTTCATGCAGTGGCTAGCTGTTTTTCTCAGTGTTTTTTGTGTGTGTGTGTGTCAATGACTCTCAGCTACTACCACACAAACTCTGAGCTCAACATCTGTAAAGTTGACGAAGTTATAGCCATTTCTGTGCAGGTTATAACCGATTATCTGTGGCATCCATCTTGAATTGAACAGACTCTAAAGTTAATATTTTGTTGTCTTACAGTCAGGGATTACTTACTGAAAGTTTAATTTAAATCTGTTCAGTGGTTCACCAGATATTTTGCTAACAGACAAACACAGTTGACTTCGACAATTAATCCTAGATTCAAGAAAAGGTTTCACACGGGGATTAGCACTTGTTGCAAATGACGCTCAGCAACAGCCACAACAAATTTTAGAATAATATCTCTAAAACTGATTGAAGAACAACCACATATGTGGTCATTAGCTTCTGTTGGCTGTGGTGGCCATCTTGACTTGGATTGGCTTCAAATGTTAAAACAGCTGTAGAGGAACGTGTAATGAATAATTCCAGAACATTTCATTAAAATTTCTTTTCTAGTTTTTTTAAATAGTTTTGCTAACAGGCAGACAGAGCTGACTCTGATCAATTAATTAATTAGTGGCAAATTTTAAACAAAGACCTTGAACAAAGTGTGGTCTGACATGTGTTAGGGATCACTCGCAGCTACTACCACAAACATTTAGCTACATATCTGTACAATAACTTCATTATAGCCATTGTTGTTATTTAAGGTCAGCTGGCGGTGGCAGCCATCTTCAATTGTGCTGACTCCAATAGATGAACATCCAATTTTTTTTCTGCATATTTGATTAAAACCCGTTTAGTGGTTGATAACACACACTGACCAGGTAAAAAAAACATTTTCACCCACCTTCGTCTTTCTGTGGCGGGAGAGATGTTAACCACATCCATAATACCAGATGGCTAGGCCTCAGACTGACGAAGCCTCTTGGATGAG